TTATCGAATTGTTTCATATTAACAGCAGCTTGTAAATAATTGTCTCTCTCGTCTTTAACCATATCCATAAGATTTGGTGGTTTTGGTGATTTGTTTTCTCGAAATTTCTCAAATGGATCTACTGTTTCTTTTCTTTTTATTCGAATCTACAAAAAGAAATTTTTATGAAACGCTTCGTCCTGCAGTTTGACCGGAACCGGTTGAACCGGCCGGTTGATAAGTCTCGACCGGACCGGTAACCGGCGCCCGGTCGCCCGGTCCGGTTGCATCTCTGATTTCGTGTACAACTGAAATCCTTAGCCACATCGACGCAAACCGTACCAAGTTCTAAAACAAATTTCAAAGCCTAAGAATAAAAATTAAAAAAATTACAATTTGTTTACAACTTTCCAGTAACTGATTAAATGACCGTCGATTACGCCGTGCTTTACTCGGACCGTCTTTCATAACATGATGTAATCACATTCAGGGAAACTAAACGAACATCCTAAGAAACATCTTTTCCATCTGTTTTCGAAACCTTGACCTCAAGAAACGGAAGAAATATTATAATTTCTCAATGGATACCTCGCTGCTTTCAATCTGAATCCAAAGACACTAACCAGCACAAGTTCCAGGGCAAAAACCTTATGATTGTTAATTTCATGGTGTTTGTACTTATTGTGCCGTTTGTGACCACACTCATAAGCACAAAAGTATCCTGAGAGACGTCTGCTACAAACGGTCAACTGATTTAGCCTCATTCTTCACACACGAAAGAGAAAGAGAATATAAACGTATATGTCGTGCATGTGAAAGAACAGATATTTCCTTTTTTACTAGATACCTAATAGCTCTTCTATTCTTTCCATTTGTTATTTCAAAATATAATTTCAAAATAAACCTTTTGTCACATACATTAAAAACATTAAAAAGCTGAACGCACAATCCGCTTCTGCACGGAAAGGTGTAGTTTGTCTTTAGTTGTCCTTTGTATTTACAAATGGTTGCTTGGGCAGCTACCTTAAAGCTATCCTATTTCACGACAAAAGATACTACGCCATGAATGAAATATCGGACAAATTCTTTGCTCACTCATACTATGAGAAGAACACACAGGTCTTCCACAGGTTACTTTCTTGGACTTGTTTTTCCATTTTTAAAATATCATTAGTATCCCAATTAGCCTCCAAATAACGTCCACTAGCAAAATCAACTTGACCACCACAAATCCAAACAGTGAATCCACCCATTAGCTCCGGTGTATCTTTGAATAATCCATGTGTTTCTGATGGTGAAGTTTTCACCATATCTGTCAATACACAACCTGGATGAACTGCAAATGTTTTTAGATTATGTGATTTGGAATATTCCATGTCTATAATTTCGGTGAAACGGTTGAGCGCTGCTTTCGAAAGTTGATAAGCTGAATATCCTGGTACTAACCAATATGATGCGGCGGATGAAACATTGATGATATAGTGTGGTGAAGGTGATTCTGTTGACAAATGGGTGAGAAGAAATCTAGTTAAAAGATAGGTACCTTTTAAATTGGTTTCCCATGTATTCCACCAGTATTCCGGATTAGTATCCGCAATGTTAAAATTTGGCTCAGAAATGCCAGCGTTGTTAACAAGAACATAGGCAGTTGCCGGATCGCTTACGGACACAGCTTTTTCAATTAATTTCTTCACACTTTCCACATTGCCCACATCTGTAATCTGTTGAATTACGTTACATTCTGGAGCAACCATTTTGATTTCTTTTCCTACTTCGGCAAGTTGTGCAGCTGTCCGAGATGCAAGCACTACTGTTTTAGCTCCAGCTTTGGCAAAGTTGATCGAAATGGATCGACCGATACCACGACCAGCGCCGGTGATGATAACTGTCTTGCCCTTTGCTGAGTTATTCAAACCAGAGGCTGATGAACTTGGATCAATTGCTGCATAAATATCGTGATGCTTTCCTTCCATCGTGTTGTGCAGAGAAGAGAGAAGTAATGTTTATGTGACTAAATGCCTACAGCATAATGTGATAATACAATTTGTTTCGTTCTATATAGTTCTAAACGCATGAAAAGTCATGTTTCACCTATCTGAGATACTCGGCGAACTACTGTAGTTGGGTGGGTTCCTCAGATACGGGAGATATGACTTCTCGTGCGTTTAGAACTACACAGAACGAAACAATTGATAAAGATAACGTGCTGTTGGCTGTTAAGCACAGGTACACCGTACA